CATATTGTATCCAAATAGACATTAATACAATTTTTATAAAGTAATTGACATTGATAAATGATTTCTCGTTAAAATATTATGCTATATACCATTTTAAAATATTAAAATATTATATTTAGTTAGGCTTAAATTTGTAAAATATGTGTTAAAGAGATTTGTTATAAAATTAATGAAATGTGTAGAAAATTCCACTATGACATATAATTTTAATTAAAATATTTTGAATGGTTAAATTTAATGACATGTCTCTTAAAATCCTCATTGAGTGACATATATAATTTTTTCATTTAGTGTCTCCTCAATTAATATATAAAAAATGTGGTTTTTTTTATTCATGGTTTAAAGAAGCATATTGGGGAAAAGTGCTAATTACAGAGATGTACAAAATTAACTAGTTTACTAAGTAACTCATATTCATTTTAAACCATTTTTTACCCCTATTTTGATGCTAATTATTTTCTGCTTAATTACTTATTAATTTCTGCATGTTAAGAAAATTATGTTTTAAAAAAACATCATTAAATAACAAATTAAAATCAATACAAAAAGAAGGAAAAAAAGACGAGAATCCAAATAGCCACTTCTATATATTCGGTGAATTTTGAGATTCATATTACTTCTTGTTTTCTTAAATTTAGTACCATGAACAAATTTTAAGGAATATATGAAATTGGAGCCAATTTTTTCATAACAGTTTAAAACCAAAAATTTCAAATCAAATCATAACATTTGATTTGCTTTCTCTTTTTTCCCATTTATAATTTCAGACTTTTGATTTTGTGTATAAGTGAAAAAGATACAGTATGTAACAATATAATGAATTTGGAAAATTATTTGGTGATTAATGAGTAATAATAAAACTAATTAATATTTTTTTGACTTTAACATAATCTAAAACCGATTATATTAGTCGAAGTTAGTGGAACTTTTGAACTTCTTTGACCAAGTTTTTTTTTTAAAATTATTTTCCAATTCTAAATAAATATGTATAAAATTTTGAGAAAGTCTAATAATTTGGAACCAAAAAAAAAAAACCCTATAGCATCCTATATTTTGGAATATTATTTTGAATTTTTGATTAAGTCAGGTACATTTATCTAGTTCATGTCATTCTGATTAGTCTAATACCGTAAGTCCGTAACCAATCAGTAACACAGAATGACAGCTATAACCTTAAATCAAATTTTCTCGTTTGCGTGTTTTGTGCATCGGCCTAATCGCTAATCGCTAATCGCTCAGGCCCTTTGCCATCATTTTCAGCTACTATATAGAAACTGCGTGTATTTATCTAACGAACGGTTATGTTAATATTTAATACGATATTTAACGTAAGAAAAAAGAGAATCTTGTATGGAGGAGGATATCAAGGCCTGGACTGTCGAGAAAAGAAAATAGAAAAGCCTAATATAATATAGGTGAAAATTAGCTGTGATTCAAATAAAATATAGAATACTAGTACGATAATTGATTAATCATGTCAGTAATCATGAATATTAATAGACAACACTCCATGACTCGGAAACTTGGAAGATTCCCCGCGAACGGGTTCCCTCACTTTGTCTCGATACTCTCTAGAAACGGGAGTAAATATTATCAGAAACTTTTGCTCTACACGTGGAGTCGTGGACAGATATATAAAAAACGAGAAAGCCCATTTAGAAGAAGATTCGTATTCATTTTGGGCCCATTTAATTAATGGACCTTTGTCTCATCTCTGTTAAAGGCGCACACACGCTCAACACTCTCACCAGAGTAGCAAATTCTGAAGCAAGCATATCCTCCTTTCTTCTTCTGCAATCGATAATGGAAGCTCCCGATGATTCCTCTCACTATTTCACCGAGTTTACATTATCCGAGGTCTCTTTCGATTTTCTATATTTCGTTTTCTTTGATTTAGAGATTCATGTGATGTGGTGACCTTTATTGTTCTTCTTATGCGCAGATTGTAGACATGGAGAATCTGTATAAAGAGCTCGGTGATCAATCTCTCCACAAAGACTTTTGTCAAACTGTTGCTTCCACTTTTAGGTATTTTTTTCTCTTTTGAATTGCAGGATGATTTTATCCCTGTGACTGTATTTGTTGAAAGAATATATATAGATGGAATTCATATAGTAGCTTAATTGGGTTTTGATTTTGATTATAAAAGTTGCTCTGCGAATCGGAATGGAAAATCTTCGATAACCTGGAATCAGGTGCGTCTCTTTTTATACTTCATGCATGCAGCTGGTAAATGCAAGTAAGGCCATAAGTAATTTGTTCTTTAATAATTGAGGTTTTTTGTTTTGTTCAGGTGCAAAGTTGGTTTCAGGGGAAGCTGAAGCAGCCAAATAAATCCAAATTCAAGACTGTGTCATCTCCTCCTATGCAGATTCTCGACTTATCAAATCACAGTTTTGCTGGAAATGGGCCATCTCCCCCTTTGCAGATTCTTGACTTATCAAATCTCAGTTATGCCGGAAATGCGGGCTGTGGTCAAAGACGGAAAGGCTGGTTTCCTTTTTCTTGTGTGCCCTTTTTAGATTCTTGTAGTTAATGCATATCCTCTCTCTTAGTTTCTAAACATTTTTGATACACAGGTAAGCCCTCTGATGTATCTGATCTGGCTTTTGAGGCTAAATCAGCGAGGGATTATGCGTGGTACGAACGTTTCCTTGCATTTGAATTACATGTTTCTATATTTGCTTTAACTCTTCTTGGATTTTGCCAGCAGAACAAGTAAGAAACATACATACATTTGAGCACAAGTCTTAGCACAAGACTTTGTTAATTTGCCAAAGTAATACATTCCTTATTGATTGTTAACTCAACAAGCAAAGTACATGTTCAGTCTGGACTTTAGCAAAGCACTTTATTCAGAAGCCTAGTTTTCAACATGTTATATGCCTTTGTGTTTTACATATGTGCTTATTCGTTGGAATTTTGGTCTTTCAGGTATGACGTATCTTCGTTCACAACTTATAGAGTTATTCGTACTGGTGAACTGGTAAGGTTCTTCTCTTTATTTCAATGGCTGATTTGTTTGCGACTAAGAGTGTCTGCAACAGGAAGTGCGTGTACGATTTTCTGGGTTCGACAACCAACATGATGAGTGGGTGAACGTCAAAACATCAGTGCGTGAGCGGTCTATTCCTGTAGAACCATCAGAGTGTGGGAAAGTCAACGTTGGAGACCTGCTTCTATGTTTCCAGGTAACGCTGGCTTTGAGATATAAATTGCGAAGGATGGAACCTTTAGCAAAATTTGTAAACGTAAGAATGGAGACTTGGGGTGGTTAATGATCAGGAAAGGGAGGATCAAGCACTGTACTGTGATGCTCATGTTGTGAATATCAAGAGAGGGAATCATGATCACAGGAGATGTAACTGCGTGTTTCTTGTTCACTTCGACCATGACGATACACAGGTAAAAAAGCTTGATCTCAGCCTTTATGTTTCGTAAGTGTGGGAAGTATTCAAGAAGTTGCGTCTTAATATGTGAACAGGAACCGCTGGGACTAGAACAAATTTGCCGTCGCCCTGATGAGTGAATCTGTTTGGTCTTGAAGTAATCTTTAGAACCAGACTTACTGATACTCAGTAAACTACGACTAGATAATATCTAATTGCCCCTAGGGTCTTGGCATTGTCTATTAGTTTTTTGCTGTAAACCCAGTGGAATAAAGTGCAAAAAGGGATTTAGGATTGAAAAAGGAATAATAAAATGTAACAAAAAATGCTTATGAAGCTAAGCTCCTTTGTGACATGAGATCACAGACTCTCTAATTCAGTTTGTTTAGAACCTCATTTTAATTTCTTCTTGACGCCTTCGTTCCGAGTTTCAATACAATAGAGAGCCAAGGTTTGTTTTATTCCAAACTTCTCAAGAAAGAAGAACAAATACATTATATTGATGAAGTTTTGTGGTTTAAGTACATACAAAACTTTGAAATAGGGACTACTTGATGAAGTTTATCTTTAGTTTATTCCAGAAAACATAAAAAAGACTGGAGGCAAACCAGTCCCGATTCTCCTAGACAATCACTGTGTACTCTCACTCACACCTTCAACATATTTCTTTATTTAGCTAACACAATAAGGTTTGACTCAAGAACAAGGGAGCTAAGGAGAGATTGGAGCAAGTAAACTACCGGTTTAGCCATCTCTTTAACCGGGAAAGCATTCCCTGAGAAGGAGGCGGAGGTGGAATAAGAACATCGAGAATGGTAGCTCTCTCTTTTGGAGTCAACGAAACACCTCTTATAAGGTTCAATGCCATGATGTGTACATTTGTCAATTGTCTGTGCTTGTTGTAAGCCAACACTCCAGCAGCACCTCCAGCAATCAGAACCTGTCACACAAAACACCAGAGTCCATTAACCTAAACGTCCCCTTAAGAGGTTTCAGTTGTTATTGACCGCTTAAACTGACCGGTGTTAGCCACAATGCCGCGGTCTGCAAATCGAATTTCGGAGCATAGAGCACAGTCTCCCCAAACTCATCCTCGAGCTTATTGTATATCTCTTTGTCAGTCTTTCCAGCTCCAATCTCATCACGGATCAGCTGCAAAACTCAGGTGTATCAGAGGAGTAGACAACAAAAAACTATCTTTTTAACGTTCATCATTTTTGCAAAATTTGAGTAAGAACTCATGACTCACCTGTCTAAGGAGAATAGCGATATCTGCTTGCGAGTCTTCAATGGACTGACTCCCACACTCAGTGCAACGAACATTGTGGCTGATGTTTCTGGCCCGAGCGTCCAGCATTTGAGCCTTCTTCAGATCCTCATCTTTTTTCTCCATTGCGCTGAAAATTTTCATGATATTGTGTACTGTGAGTTTTCACAGACGCATTTCGTCGAACACTTTGTGAATAACGGAGCAAAAACTACTCGGACACCCAAAACAATACGAAACGAAAATTCTGTTATGAAGAGAGAACCTGGGTAGAGAGAGGAAGCGAGAGAGATCGAATAAACTGCTTAGTCCGCCTAGATTTCAACCTGGAGCTCAAAAATTAAACCTTTTCGCTTGGGAAATTTCTCTGTTTGTTTTTTTTCCCGGCGAAATCTTCGAGCAATACTGTAAAACGAAACACCCTATCGTCCTCAAGCTACAGGATCGACGATCAACGATTCTCGCCAGAGCCGTTCAGAGAAGACGCCGGTTGGACTTCGGCGGGTGAAAAAGAAATCGGATCCGTACGTGAGACTGAGAAGGCGCGTGAAGGAGCGTGCAACGAGTGTAAGAAGACGAGCTTTGCGCGTGTAATAAACATGGGCCTTTTAACTGACTAACTGACCCAAGAAGGAACATGTGTACAACATCAAGATAAAGCAGAATACATTCTACAAGAGGAGAAAGTGTAGGAGAAAACGAGATTGAAACAAGAGCCACCAATCTCTAAGCTGATGATTTGGTGTCTATCTGAATCATTTTGCAATGGAGGACTCAATTTTGTTTGTAATGATGATGATCTTAAGGTGGCCTCAACTCTGTTCTTATGGAGATATCAGGTCTGTTTGTGGTCATTACCAATAAAGCATGACATGTTAGACAAGAAGAGAAGAAATGAAAGATGAATATTCATTTCGTAACTTCCATGTTGCTTTTCTGCTGAGAAGGAGCAAACTCAATAACATAGTTGTCACAGAAAGAACTACCAAATTTGATCTGATTCTGCATAGACAAGTAGAGAAGACATTCCTGTCAGACGCTTACTTTGTCTCCCTACACTGTTCTTGAATTTGAAACTGAACAGCATAAAGAAACCACGAATCAATGCCCCATGGACAATTAAACCTCAAGAGAGAATCTTATTTCATCCATTCTTATGTCTAACAAGAACCTAATGACACACACCACCAACGCAATCAACAGAAGCAACGCAAAACGAACTTGGAAGATGTATAAAGTCTAATGCTTTCTTTTATTTATATACACACAAACGAGGGAACAACAGTTTTGAGTGACAATGTTAAGGACTCTCAGACATATCCTCCAACTAAGATCGGT